GGAGATCACAGGCTGTGGAGGCCCTTGGGGGGATTCTGAGGAGACAGCAGAGCAGGTTTCCTGGGATCCGATACTCAGTGAAGGGCCAGTTACTGCCACTGCCTGACTAGGCAAGTCACTGTGGAAAAGCTCAACCGTCACATTGCCAACCCGGTGCCCTAATGGAGACGTCTCCCCTCTATGAACTCTGGGAAGGATAAGGTCGGTGGGAGAGCCACCTCCACAGTACTCAGACTCCTGTCAAGAGGGGAGGCTCTTACCCCTCTGTCACTTGGCGCAGGGAGGTCTTCCCAACAGGGCTGTGACGGGCCTCAGACACGACAGCCAAGATTAGTGGGGGCTGTTTATAAAAAGGCCACATGATATTATGTGCTGAATTGATGTGTGTGTTCCAGCAGTTCAGTTAAGAGCCTCCTTCCCATAAGATTTTAAAAACACACCAAAAAACAAAAACAAAAACAATAACACACATGCAGGAGCTGGGGATTTAGCTCAGCGGCACAGCGCCTGCCTGGCAAGCGCAAGGTCGTGAGTTCGATTCCTGGTACCAGAAAACAACAACAACAACAAAAACACATTCCAACTACTGCCAGGCAAGGTGGTGGACACCTATACTCCCAGCACTCAGGAGGCTGAGGCAGGAAGACTGCCCTGAGTTTGAGGTCAGCCTGGGCTACACCGTAAGTATCCAGTTAATAAAACCCCATAAGTATTCTCAGCTATTTTAGGCCCAAATGCCCAGGGTTAAATCTGAGGTTTAAACATTGGCCAAGGAGGCAGGCTGTGCTTCAGACCCAGCTGTCTGGGTCACTGTGTCCGCTTTGCACATGGTCCCGAAAGCACAAACGCAGGTCCTTCTTCTGATGCCACACTTTTCTAGTCTGCAGGCTTCACAGCTGCTACTCGTGTCTCTTCTGGTCACAGAATCTCCAAAAACCCCCTCTAGGCTCTGCCAAGCCCATGACCGCTGCTCCTCCATGACGCACTCAACACCGGCCATCACTGGTGTTCAATACCACCTCCCCCCATTCCCGGATGAGCTGCCCGGAAGTGAACAGGAGGCCAGAGGGAAGCAGAAGGCAAGCACGGCCCGGCAGACTTTCTACACGGATTCATCTGTGGACTAAAGACAGTGTGTAAGGAACTCCGAATGAGGGTTCTCTTCCTTGTTTTGTTTGTTGTTTTTGAGGCAGGGTCTCATGCTGTAGCGTGGCTGGCCTTGAACTTGCGGCGATCCTCCCGCCCCCACCTCCCAAGTGCTGTGACTACAGGCAGGAGCCTCGATTCCCCTGGCTAATGAGGATTCTGGAGATAAGTTTTCCAGGAAACATTCAGCAGGGAAAGGCCAATGTTTCCAGTGGAGCCCTAAGCGTGCTGATGGGGTCCGCGCTTGAAACAGCAAATTCTAATTAGCATCTTGGCACTTATGAACCGAGAGACACTTCAGCGTCCTGGCAAAGGGCTGGGGGGATGGGAGGAGCTGGGTGCCAGTGCGGAATGGAAACCCAAGCTGAACCGGCCGCTTGGTAAAGTGCAAAAGTGTGTCCAAGCTACCGGGCACAATCGGATCTCAGCTCGGAAAACGAACACCACCAAGAGGATTTCTTCAATATTCTGGTTGCAGAAGTGTTTTCCTACAGGTCTAATTTCAAAAGCTTTTAGGGTTGCAGGGAAAAATGAACTCCATGCCATCCAAGATCCACAACAAAACACACCAGAGACTGCGTTTTCAGGCGGCAGCTTCTGTTTCCCCAATGCCAAGGCCCGGGTGTGCTCCCCTCTCGGACTCTAAGAGGGCGGCAGCTCTGCCAGTGCTGGATTTCGCTCCACTGTTCCGCTGTGTGATGCACTCCAGCCCCCGGGCTTCAGCTGAGGAAAAGATGTGTTTGTGCGCAGGATGAAACAAGGATGCCGGCCTCCTTGTGAAAAGCAGACAGACGCTAGCAAGGCACTGAGCGGCTGCTTGCATTACATGGAAGACGCAAAGCCCAAGGACAGAGTCGGGGAAACACTGCCCAGCAGGCTGAGATGCACAGCAAGGCGAACGTAAACCAGCTCACAGGAGATGTTCTTACTGTTCTTCTTTGTTTTTGGTACCGGGAATTGAACTAGGACCCTGCCCTTGCCAGGCAGGCGCTTGTGCCGCTGAGCTACATCCCCGGCCCCTTACTGTGCATTTTCGACACTGTGTCCAAAACAGTTATGTACGGCTCATGTTGCCATTTGCTTTGGTAGCTGCACATTTTCATAAATTTTGAACAATGGAAGATGTGTCTTTTTAAACCACCTGAATGGTAGACATTAAGTCATTACAGATCTTGCCCCTAAAAGCAGTCTTGGCTGCTTTATGTCATACAAATGCCAAGCTCTCTTTCTTTTTTTCCCCTGGTCCTGGTAATCAAACCTAGGAGCTCTCTACCATCAAGCTACCTCCCTAGCTGCTTGTAATTTTTGAGACAGGGTCTCATTAAGTTGCTCAGGTGAGGCGATCCTCCTGCTTCAGCCTCCCAAAGTGCTGGGATTACAGGTGTACACCACCGAGCCAAGCTAGATGCCAAGTTCTTTCCATCACACCTCATGTTACAGTGATAAACTAAGTTACTCTCTACTAAAGAGATGCCCAATTGGGCCTCTGAAAGAAAGGATTCAGTACTGTGGTCCTTATGAATTCACATGGGAACCGTAAATGAGGACGCAACGTAACACTAAGTTAAAGACAACTGTAATATCAAAGTAAGGTCTAAAATTATAGTCTTGAGATGCATCCATGTCCCTAAAAACATCTCAAGTTTATCCTTCAGTATGGCAGAGGGGTAGATATTCCATTATGTATAAATACCACACCTTCCCCGTCCATTCATCTGCTGATGGCGTTGGGCTGTTCCCAAGATTTCGCGGTTATCAACTGTGCTGCTATGAACCTGGCTGCACACATGTCCGGGGCGTGCCTCCAACCTGTGGGGTGAGGCTTCCGACACACGCGTACGTGTGGAGCACAGGTAACGGGAAGTAGGAGGAGCACATTAAAGTAGGGGGATGAGGGGAGGGAAGGAAGGGAAAAGGGATTTTAAAAAAGTGGAAGGGAAAAAATGGAAACAACTTTTGTAACACAGGAGGGGAAACAAGGTCTGAAGGGAGGGGAGGGGAATGGAAAATAAGAACGAGGATAGATCATGTACCGCGACAAAGTCCAGCTACGAACTCGATCGCTACGAATGGCAAACGCGTACTAATCAAAGAGAAGTAAGGTCTGGCATCAGCAAAGTCGCCTGCCGCTCAGTCTCACAGACACAGTTCCAGTCTGGTTTCTCGTCTTCTTCCTACGGAGGAGGCATCTCGTCCGTCCTTGTCCCTTAAGATGAGGGGGTCCTGAATTTATACTGTGGCCTGTCTCGCACCCAAATTAACTCATTAACAGCACCTTAGGGCAAGGCACTCACTCGGGCTAGATGCACCTGTTGCAGTTACCTAAGTGCGGCTGCTGTTTGTTTATTTAGGTGGCTCCTTGCTTTTAAGCTCATGTTATTTCTAAATGAATTAGGACATGAAAAAGCACACAGTGTAGACACTAAGACAACCTTTGAGGCACTTCTACTTAGTTACAGTCAATTAGTTAAATTCTCTTTGTCATGTTTAACAATAAAGCAAAGCAAGTGTAATCCCAGCACTCTGGGAGGCTGAGGCAGGAGCACCTTAAATTCAAACCCAGTTCGGGCAACTTAGCCAGTCATTGTCACAGAATAAAAATAAAGGGCTGAGGATGTAGCTCAGTGCAAAGGCCCCGAGTTCAACTGCCAGTGTCAAAATAAACCAATAAATTTCCCAGCAGGTCCTTGGGAAGCTGAGGCAGGAGGAACACTGTAAGTCCAGGGCCAATTTGGGCTGCAGAGTAAGTTTAAGGCCAGCCTGGACTGCACAGTGCACCCCCATCTCAGAAAACAATAAATAAACAACCAGAAAAACCCACATGCAATGTTTTTTCCACTTATACTGCACTTTGGTGCTGGATCCATGAATTTTATTCCAAATCTTAATGAAAACGATGCCAGTGTCACAGGGCTTATTTTTAGGATAGGTTCCCTACCCCTAAAGCCTAATGGCACTGTTCAAAAGCAGATTCCCAGGTGTTAAGGACCCCCGGGCGATTCTCCTTGAAAGAGGAGCAATTGCCTCCACTTTGGCTGAGCCTGGCCCTATTTCTATGACTGATGTGCACAGGGCTGGCTGGGACTTTTCCTCATCCCTTCAACTGGCTTTAAGCAATGGTATCAGTCTAGCCACGGTGCTGATGGTAGTCTCTGAAGATAGCAGGCGTGTTTTCCCCGACCCCTACTCATTGTTCCCTTGTGTGAGCCGTGGGGTGAAAAGCCAATGCTCCACACTGTCACTAGGATCAAGCTTCCAGTTAGAGGCTTCGACTTCCTGGGGCTTAAAAGATCACAGATCAGAGCGGAAGCAGGACCCCAAACATTAGATACTATCTCAGTTGTGTTATGCAGATGACTCTTTCTGCATATCCTTCTCTCTGCATACTGGAGAGGCGATTTCAGGCCTCCTACCTCGCCCAGCTCACAGCACTGACCTACTTCCGCCATTCTCACAGTCACTCATCCTCTAGGTACGTCCTTCTTCACAAATTCGTAAAACCGCGGTTTGGCCCGGGGTCGGGGTCTTTGTTCCAGTTGAACTTAGGACCCCTTGGCGCCCCACAACTACAAATACGCCTTAGTGTCTTTATTCTCACCATGGGTTGCACTGGAAGTGGTAGATTGGAATTAACGCGCTAGGATTCCAATAACTTTTCAAGGGATTACAAACATAAACTTCCTGGGCTGTGACAAGGACCGGGAAGGGCTCTCTATACCCAGGCGCAGAGGACGACGGGATTTTCATTTAATGCCAGGCCACACGAATATCAATCACACTGTTTCCATCATCTATGATGAAAGGACTCAGCCACCAACTCTGGGAGCGCCGGCCGGCGCCGCGAGCGGCCTCACCTTCTGCGAGTTCGGCTTGATGCAGCGGATGAAGAAAGGGTTGGAGGAGCTCAGCGTCGCCATGAGGGAGTGCAGGGAGTCCTGGCAGAGACAGAGCAGATTGTTCTGTCAGGCTTTGCGTTTCTCAGCACCCCGAGTACAAGCAAAACGACACACCGCGGAAGGCAAGCCGGACAGCCTGACATGCTAACGTCATCCTACTAGGAAACAAGGTGAAAGAAGCGACACTTCAGTGCAACTGCAACTGTTCCCTAACGTACAGCGTTCACTCAGGACTTCCTCTCAGAGAGTGGCATTTGATGAAAGCCACTGTCACAAACCAAAACACCCTTAAGAGATTTCAGTGTTCCACTCAGAAACACTACGTCAGGCACAGCGGCGCATGCCTGTGCTCACTCTAGGAGGCTGAGGCGGGAGCAGCGCAGATTCAAGCCCCGTCTGGACGGTTTAGCAGTTTAGCAAGGTCCTGTTCAAAATAAATAAAAGGGGGCTGAGGATGTAGCTCACTGTGAAGGCTCTGGGCAAATAAATAGACAGAAAATGAAAAGTTTAGACAGACATCCTATGAATCCTTCCATCAATATTTCAGTATCCATAATGAAGGGCAAAATACTTAGCATATTATGAAACCCCAATATAACAGCACCTTAAAAAGACACACCAGGAATTCCTTAAATTAATTAATTTAATAGTAAGGAGCTGGGCACAGTACTGCCCACCTGTAATCCCAGCTACTGGGGAGGCTGAGGCAAGAGGGTTACAAATTCGAGGCTAACTTGGACAACTCAGTGAGACCTTGAGTCAAAATGAAAAAGTAAAAAGGGCTGGGAATACAGCAGAGTAGTAGAATACTCCCGAGTTTGATTTTTGGTACCACCAAAAATTTTTTTAAATGGAGAAAGTGAAAAGAAATTTAACACAGAAATTAACATTAAAATGGACACCAATTTCACTTTTCACATTTAAAATTTGCTCTCCATGAGTTCCTCACTAACCCTCCTGGTGCCCGGGGCTCCTGCAGGGGTACAGCCTCCTCCTGTGCCCTCCCTGCCAGGGCTCCAGGGAGCACCCTGCTCTGCCTGCGCCATCAGCCTGCGCGGCCGCCCAGAGCCTTCCAACCCCTCCATTCCTCCTCTGCCCCGGGGCCAGAGCCTCCAGACAGCTTGGCACGGCCAAACTCGCAGAGACCAGATGTCTCCACGGGAGGGGAAGAGCTCAGTTTTTCTTTCTTTGTTCTCTGGTTTATGCAGCCCATGCTGGCCTCAAACTCACAGATCCTCCTGACTCAGCCTCCTGAGTGCTGGGATTACAGGTGTGTGCCACTATGCTCAGTGTGTCTGACCTCACTTCAACAGGGTCTGGGCCTTTAATCCTAGTTGTGATACTGTGAACACAGCCAGGAAGAATGTCAGCATCCAGATCTGACAAGAAACACACGACTGTCTGGATACAAGGGAGAATAATCCGAGAGAGCAAAGCAGACTGGAAGGAGCTCTGTTATTTCAAAGTTAGAATTAGTTATCCCTTATTTAATCAAAAAAGTCTACATGTTTTCATCTGCCTTGGAAAAGTGTAAGTACACATATGTATTCTGTGTGTGTGCACGCGTGCGTGTGCTGGGACTGATCCTAGGCCCTTGCACATGCTAAGCATTAGCTCTACCATTGAGCTACACCACCAAACCCCAAATGTATATTTACGAAACACTGTTTATTTTCGTTTGTTTAGTGGCTCTAGGGATGGAATCCAGGTGCACTCTACCACCGAGCTACATTTGCAGCACCCTCCCCGTTTTTTTTTGCTTCTTCCCCCCTTTTGGCTTTTTGAGACAGGGTCTTGCTATGTAGCCCAGGATGGCCTCCAACTTGTGATCCTCCTGCCTCAGCCTCCCAAATAGTTGAGAACACAGGTATACATTACTGCACCCAGCAGTCACTATTTTAAAAGCATGACGTGAAAGAAAACACATTCTCCTAGACCTCAGGTACACCCAACTCCTCTTTCCTTTCTGAGGATCACGATGGGAGGGCCGTGCCGCGCAGCCCTGCAGACCGACCTTGAACTGCGAGCTGACCGTGGGCCGCCGGTGCTTGCTGCCGCACTTGAGGGTGTCCTGGCTGCTGCGGCTGGAGACGTGCTCGAAGAGGTCGTAGATGAAGTCGAACCTGCGAGGACAGCGGGCTGTGAGGCTGCGCACCGCCTATTATGCTCGCGACGACTGTAATTATGGCACATTTTCCCACTGGACGCTGCAGCAGCTCAGTGGGGGCTGGGAGAACCAGGACTGCGTCCAAGACTGCAGAGCAACTTCTGCCAAAGAGCTTTAGGCACAGGAAGCCGTGCCAGACTCGAGGGCACCCGCAGTCGCACAGCAGAACCCAGGGAAGCACAGCGGTCCAGGCGGCCTCCCAGAGCACCCCTGGGTCCAAAGCCTGGATCTCCCCGCCTGGAGATGCGATAGCCAGCACCCTGTGAGTCCCCAAGCCCACAGTGCTCAAGCCTCTTTTATTACATGGTGTAGTGAGCCAGGCCTAGTGGCACACGCCCGTATTCTAACACTCTAGGGGGCTGAGGCAGGAGGATTACAGTGCGGGTCCAGCCTGGGCAATTTAGTGAGCTCCTGTCTCAAAATAAAAAAGTTAAGCCAGAAGGGGCGGTGCAGGCCTACAACCCCAGCACTTGGGAGGACGAAGCAGGAGGATTGCCATGAGTTCGTGGCCAGCCTGGGCTACACAGTGAGTGCAAGGCCAGCCTGAACTGCACAGCGAGACCCTGTCTCAATCAATCAAAAATGTAAATAAATAATAAATATATAAATGGTAGAGGATGTAGCACAGTGTGAGATAGCAAAGCAGACGGGTTCAATCCCAACACTGCTAAAAAATAGTAAAATAAATAAATAAAACGGTACAGTACTTGCGCAGTACATAAACACCACCTTTCATCCACCCCAAACCATCTCCAGATTTTCTCCAATGCCTAACACCACGCATATGCTAAGGAGACAGCGGTCACTCTGTGTCACTTGGAGAACAAGGGCAAGACAAACGCCTGTCCACGTTCAGCACAGACGCAGCTGTCCAAGCACAGCTGGGCGAGGCCGCGGCAGTGGCAGCGCAGGTATGGACAGCAGGTGGATCAGGGGCACAGGAGTCCCGGGCACCCGACAGCTGAGCGTGGAAACGGTGCTGGCAGGGTGCAGTGGGCGAGGGGCTCCAATCCCACCTCCCCGCCTCCCAGATGTGTCCTGCATGGTCAACCTCTACTGCCAAGGGCCGCTGCGGAAAGCGGGGACACTTTCTGCACCAGGCCGAACCCTAAGGTCTTTGCACTCTGATACCTCCCCAAGTCCTTTCTGCAGACTGGCTCTTGCTAGGCTGCCCAGGCTGGGACGCTTTTTGATGCCCGGAGAGAAGCCTGGGTTCCGTTCATGGTCAAAGACGTGAAGCCCGGGAGGTGGAAGCCAGCAGCCTGTCACCTCCATCACAAAAGTGCCTGACATAGGACCCCCAAAACCTGCCCATCTCAATCCTGCAGTCCTACAAAGGCCTGCAGACCTTTAGGCTTGGTCATGTAAGAAACTGCTTCTGTTTAAAACCAGTACAGGGGCTGGGGATTTAGCTCAGCGGCAAAAGCGCCTGCCTGGCAAGCGCAAGGTCGTGAGTTCGGTTCCTGGTACCGGAGAAAAACAAAAAAAAAACCAGTACAAAGCTTTTATCTAAATACACCCCTCTTAACCTAAGAGCTCAGATAGACACATGCTGTGGTATTTTTAAAACATTCTTTAGTTTTTTTTACGGGTCTGCCAACTCATCTACAAATGGAACTAGCTGATAATGCTACAAACAGCGGACTCCTCACATAGCAGAGGTAAAACAACTTTAAAGATCAAACGCTTCAGATTCTGAGGGCCTCAGCTGACACGTCCGCCTCGCTCCATTTGCCCCGATTCACAGCTTTCTAAACGACAGCATGGTCACCTGGTATTCACATTTCACAGCACACCACAGCTCCTCAACAATCGTGCTGCTTCCTTCCTCACATGCGAAGTCTTTATTTATCACACATTCAAGCTGGGCCCCACACGGTATCAAAAATGTTTAGCCAAGGGCTTTTTCCTTCCCTTTCACAAATCTTCCTAAGAATAGGAACCTTCCTGATTCAATCTACACAATGGCAAAACTCACCATTAAAAGTTCCTGCCTGTTTTCCTGTACCTACTGACTTACTGGTGCGAAATGCTGACTCCCGAATGAAAGGGTAATGCATATCTCTATTTCTGGCTGAATTAACACTTGTTTAACCTTCTTCACATCCCTTATGCTAACAAGAGACATTCGGATTCTGGAAAATGAAGGCCGGAAGTAGCACACAGCTCAGCTTGCAGTGAAGAAAGCAGGTTGGAAATGTTAAGAGCTTAGATTCCGGAGCCAGGCGGACGGAAGGCTTCCACTGCAGCCGCCATCTCCCGCCTGCACAGCTGAGCATGGCCAGGCCGTTATTTCAGCTCTGAATTCTAAGGCAGCTGGTGCTGCTATTACTAACTTGCAGCTCAAGTCATTCTGTCAATGAAATAACGCCTGAAAAAGGAGATACGAAAGTGAGTGCTTCGTGATAGTGACTGGTTTCATGCTTATGAGTGAAGCACATCTGCATACATTCTAATTCTTGCTACAGACAGGAGACCGACATACCGGCTTTCTCTTAGCAAGTTGAGCAGGTCGTCTCGGAAGGTGTCTCTGTTCTTCTCCAAAATGCCTCGGACATCGTACTGCACCTAGTTTTAAAAATAAAAGTGAGAAGCCCACACCTGTGATCCCAGCACTTGGGAGGCTGAAGTAGGAGGATACCCACGAGTTCGAGGCCAGCCTGGGCTACAGAGAGAGTTCAAGGCCAGCCTGGACTACAAAGCCAGGCCCTGTCTCAAAGGCTTCTCAAACTTCTGTTCTGTCTGGAGACCAAAGGGGCGAATACCAGTGCGCGCGGCACGAAGACGTTACCTCTCCCGCGTAGTGTTTCACTCCGAAATTGTTGACGGCGACTCTGGGCTTCACATAAAAGTGGTTATTCTAATAAAAACAAAATAAATGCACCTTATTTTACTCACTCATTCCCTCTGCCTTTAGAGAAAAGCACACACAGGGCTGGGGATTTAGCTCAGCGGCAAAAGTGCCTGCCTGGCAAGCGCAAGGTCGTGACTTCGGTTCCCGGTACCGGAGAAAAACAAAAAAACAAAAAAAACAAAAAAAAAAAAGAGAGAAAAGCACACACAACGGACAGCAAACAGCTGCAGGACGTGTGGCTGCCACAGCACAGATCGCGCGCGGAGCCGCCCGCCTCTTAACTGTGCTGTGACCAGCGCTTACGAGTGGTCCCTTCTGCGCCCCTAAGATAAACGGGCACAGTCTGACCACGGCCCCCAGATCTAACCTTATTCAACTGAGATCTAATAAGAGCAGAGAAATGTGACTTATTTCAGCTTAGGTCAGGAGAGGGAAGAAAAGCTTTGAGTTGAGAGAGAACATTGAACACGGCGGCAGCACCAGGCTCATAGGACCTGGCATCCTGGATGGGATCTTAATCCCCAGATCTGCTGTTCGTGCGTAGCGAGGGCCGGGCAGGTCTCCACGTACCGCGTGCTGGTGGTGCAGCTTCTCCAGTAAGGTGCTGTCCGTGGCTTGCGGGAAGTGGCTCTCTTCATTGATGAGGGCCAGGAGGCCAAGTTTCTAGAGAAGGGAAGGAGAAGCCTGAATGGATTCAACGTGGGACGCAGGTCTTTCAAACTGCTGAGAACACCTTTCCTGCCCACTCCCTGGTGATTTCTTGGATAGAAAAAAATGATACACCCTAAGGAAACCAACTGAATTCTCTATGAGTCATCCTTAGATCATGAGACCCACTGTAATGCAGTGGCTACAACTTTCACAGCTGGAGGTCTACCGTCCTGCCTGCGCGGCCCGAAAGGCTCTGTGATGAAGTGGAATCGCAGGGCAGCTAATTCACACACTGGGTTCTTAAATATCCCTATCCCGTTCCAGGAGACAATAGGCGGGGAGCAGCCAAGTATTTAAATTCATCTTTGCACATTTACATCTCTGTTTCCAAATGATCCATTGTCTTCTGAATGTTCACATCTTTGATGTGCGAGTTCGCACAAGTTATTCTGTTCCCATGAACATGACTCAGCCCAGCTGGACACCCTTGGAGCGGAAGCACCCTGGGCGGCGGCCCCTCACCTTCTCAATCAAGTCCAGGCACTCCCCATTGTCTATCCAGTCAATGTCCTCCCACACCAGGCCTTCTCTGCAGAGATTGAAGAAGGGTCACGTGAATGAAAATACAGCTTTCCGCTACCTAACCCAGCGGCTGACTTTTTAAGAAGCTGGAACAGAACCCTCTGGGCCCTTACCTGCTGTATTCCAGTTGTTCTAAAGAAAAAATGTGCTTGTTGAAGTATTCCTGGAGCTTCTCATTTGCATAGTTGATATTGAATTGCTCAAAGTGGTTAACCTGAGACGGGAAAATATTCAACCAGTGTTTTTTGGGCCTGCGACATGTAAAAGTGAAGAAAAGGCAAAAAAACAATCTGCAGAGAAAAATGTCAATGTCTACTTCAAGAGATTTTATTTATTCATTCATTCATTCATTCACTTGGTTTTTTGAGATTGAGTCTCACTGTGTAGCCCAGGCTGGCTTTGAACTTGTAGCATCCCGCTGCCTCAGCCTCCAGAGTGCTGGGATTACAGGTGTGCGCCACCATAACCAGCTTCAAAAGACTGATTTGATAGCAGCCTAAACCCGGAGCACAATGCGGAGATCCCATGCTTTGGAAGCCTACCTCGAAGTTTTCAAATCCAAAGATGTCGAGGATGCCGATAGACTTGAAATCATCTCTGCCTTTGATCCTGCTGTTGATCTTCTTAATGACCCACTCAAAGCAGCGTGCGTAAAGTGCCATAGCCAAGGAGTCCCTGCTGTCCACTGCCTGTGGGACAGGAAGCGACACAGTCCTGGTGACCAGGGCCCCTGGCAGGCAAGTGTGACCCTGCCCCACTCCTCCGAGGGACATGTTGTCCCTGGAAAGACCCAGGATCCTTGGCGAAGTCAGGGAACACGGGGATATTTGAAGACAGTGTGAACTCACTAACGTTCTAGTAAGATTCAGCCACAACTCCTTTAAATATCAGGATTCGGAATAGAACTGTGTACGTTCAGTTACATGAAAGATTCTGAATCTACGTATGTGGTGATTGAAAACTACAGTCAATATTAAATTTTAAAAACTTATGACAGTAGAAGACACTGCTACGAATCCCCCTCAAATTACTTCCCCTTGCTTTGAACACGTTTATTCTACCATTTGGCCCCTTTCTGATCAGTTTTGGAAGTCCTTGTTCACGGGTATCTTTGATTGTGCTGTGTGGCTGTTGGACAGCCTGAAGTGACTCACAGTGTTTATTTCCACGGTCATTTTGACTTTGGGAAGAGCAGCAGTCACACAGTGCCACTTACGGTGGATGAGGTCACACCGTGACGTTTCACAGGCCTGCCTTTGTGCAGGATGGCATGTGGCAGCTGCAGTCACCATATTTTTGATCAACTCTTGTAAAGACACTCATGAAAGAGGACTTCCAGAACTGCTTCAGAAAGCTGCCAGACAGATGGGACGAGTGTTTGAAGTGGGGAGGATTCACTGCAATGTGTCTTTTACTGTAATACATTACTAAACGTGAACGTTCACTGTATATTTTGATCATACCTCATAATTAGCCCTGTCTTACAGAGCAGGAAACTGAGGCACACTGGATACATTTCCCAAGAACAAGTGGAAGGATCAAGACTCCAACTGAGGTGACATGCATGTTACTTGTCCTAGCAAACACGCAACACTTCGCCTAGGAATGGCTGTCCATTCCGCAATCTTGGATGTTGTCTACATTCAACCACTGCCAAAGCTGCCATAACTGTTCAGTACAGTTACTTCTGTGAATCCCAGCGCAGCTCCGCAAGCCCAGGAGCTTCCTTCTAGACCCGTGCAGCGCACAGTGTGTACCTGCTGGACGCTGAGCGGCGTAAGGATCTCTTCTCCCCTGAGGAACATGGATCTCTGGGTCAGAGCGTCCGTGAGCTGCGTCGGGTCCAGCCCAAGTAACTCTGCAGACCGGCCCAGAGCTGGGGACAGAGGAAGGCAAGGTGGACCCACAGCCTCACAGCCCCACGGTCAGCCACATGGCAGCACCACGGAGCAGAGCGCACCTTGCTGAACACACATCTTAGCAGCGGATTATTCACCTCTTAGTGGGTCCTAGGTCAGGAGCATACAAAAACCCTGTGTTTGGCAGTGAGTGGGCACTCACTCCTAGGGGTCCCTAAGATGCCACCAGAGATGGGGGACGATATTCACAGATAGTACTAAAGAAATTTGCCAAAAGGTAAGACGATGTCTGTGTTCTTACTGACATTTTTCTGTTTTGGAAGTCTTCTAACTCCTCGTGTCTCAGCCTTCTGAGTGCTAGGATCAAGGCACGTGCAACCATGCCTTGCTTATTATGGTTACTTTTAAATGAGTGAATGAATATTTCTAAATGCTTCAGTTTTAAATTCTTTTCTTTTTTTTTTTTTTAAAGCAGTGGCAAAGTTTATTCAGCAAAGCAAAAGTGAAGAGTAGGGGAGAAACCGGCTCTGTAGGGCGAGCTTGGGCAGAGTAAGCAAAACCGGAGGGCGAGAACAAAGATAAAAAATACACGCTGTGCCTGGCCCAGGAGACAGCACAGGCTACCATGGAAAGTTCCAACAGCGTTCAGTTTTAAGTTCTAATACAAGGCTGGGTGTGGTGGTGCATGCTTGTAATCCCAGCACTGAGAAGGCTGAGGCAGGAGGACTGCCATGAGTTCAAGGCCAGCCTGGGCTACATAGCGAGTTCAAAACCAGCTTGAACTCCATAGCCAGACCTTGTCTCAAAAAAAAATTTCTAATCTAGCACATACAAACAGACATAGCCAAGATAAACAAAAAGTCTTGGGGGTTCTAAGATTTTTGAGACTCTGGAGAGGTACTCGGTGGATCAATTATCTGAGAATCCCTGAGCTACAGACCAGGCTCCTCTCCAACTGTGCGAAGCCTGCAAGCTCATGCCCCAGCTTCTGCGACCACGACGCCTAGTGCTTCTTTCTGGAAAGCTTTCGAAATCCAGCTATGAAATAACTCCCTGTGGGAAACGACGACAGACACAGCTCTAAGTGTACTCGCTCACGTCAGCTCCGCACCAACCTCCGCGCTCTGGGCAGGGAAGCCACCCACAGCACGGGGATGAAATCGCAGGCAGCATCCGAGGTGCAGCAGGGGTTAGGGACCTAGCGTTCTGCAAAACTCATCATCTTAACCAGCACGCGCTGCCACTGCGGAGTAGGACAGCTCCGTTCCACAGGTTTCCTACATCCAAGCACACTGCTCGCAGTCCCACTTATTTTGGGGCATTTTCTTCGTTTCTTGGGGAGGATGAAAACACAGGACCATTCCGATGCACCAATGACTTTGCATTCGCTGTGGCCCTGGGCTGACTGACATCTCCCGTCAGATGAGGGTTAGGTGCGGCCACTCAGGAGCTGGTGGTGCAGCTCCGTGGGGGGCTATGTGACTGTGGTGTGGAAGACCCTGGGGGGTGCAGGAGGGAGGGAGAGAAAGAGAGAAGGCAGAAAAAAGCAAGGGAGAGGAAGACAGGAAGGAATGAAGGAAGGAAAGAAAGAAATACTTCTACAGCGCTCCAGCCCAGCTCTGTGGAGGAGCAGAGCGTCACCAGCCTGGGGTTCATTTTGGTAGAAATGGTGGAGGTGCAGGCGGGCGGGCAGCCACCTCACCTGTCTTGAAGGAGACCTGCGCGCCCCCTGCGGTGATGAACTCCACGTTGCCGAGGTGCAGAATGCCGGCCAGCAGCCGCAGCACCTCCCGGACCTCGTCCTTGCTGAACTGCATGACCTCCAGGGCCGTCTGGAAGGAAAGGGAGGAGCTTAGTGCTAAGCAGTCCTTTACCACTGAAGGAACCTGGGGAAAAGGAAGGGTCGTCACTCAATCGCGCTATCAGGAGCGGTTCCAAGGAAATGCAAAACAGGTGCAGGACCAGTGGCTCGATGGTGAGATGCAGGACAGCAGACAGAAAGTGCCAGGGAAGGGCCAGGCACGACCACTCTGTGAAACACAGCTCTGCTTCCAAGCAAGCTCTGCTGCAGTAGCCCTCACGCTTGCATTGGCGGGAGGAAGTCTGCTGGGTTGCAGCGTGTGTTGTTTCTCATGATTCAGTGCACTGTTTGCCAGTGTCTTGTTGGGAACCAAATGCTTCTTTTCTACAGATATCAACGCATAACCATCACTGTTTTCTTGGCCTAAAAATTGGGCGTGAGATACCGATATTTGGGTTGAAGGGTGTGCAATACTTCAAGACTGCTCCAGTATAAACTTGGATGCCTTCTCTCTCTGGCTATTGGGCAACTGGAAGCCAAGTGGGCAGAATGAAACTTTGTATCAGAAACTCGTGAGCATCTTTTCTTATTTTTATAAGACACTGACGGGCAATCTGAATAGATCGGGACCGTCTCCCCTACTCAACACATCTCTTTAATTTCTCGAAAGGGTTTGTAAGACCTCGTCCTAGCCTCTGGGTATAGAAGGTAACATAATGTGGTTTTGGAGAGATGCATACAGGACTGTGTTAGCAATAATAAGTATTTAAATAACTCACACCAGGCGTGGTTTGAATCCTATCTAAGATTCATTCTGTTTCTATTGGAGCCAAAGTTTGGTGAGGGAAAGGGTTCTGAAAAAGAACACACAAAGCCAAGCACAACACTGCTGGGCATCCTGATGAAAATGATCTACAAAGAGAACCTGGACCCACACAAAGACTACAGGGGACCGGGACAGACTGTGAAGAGACAAAAACTGCGAAAGGAAACAACCGCAGGTCTACAGGGAAAAAGCGAAAAAGGGCAAACAATAGCGCAGGCAATGTGATTACAAGTCCTCCCGAAAGATACTGGAGCAGCGAGAACCAAGCTGGCACTTCTCCCCGGAGGAAGAGCAAGGCTGGGGCTGTAGCTCAGGGGTGCAGTGCTTGTCCTGCACCCCAAAAGCAAACAGGAGGACGTGCAACTCCACAGAGCAATGCTGACCTTCCTGGAAATCAAATCTGTATGAATTAGAGTAAATCTGAGGTCGCACCTATGACACTAGCAGGAATTTCTGAAGGATAAAGACTTGCTGAAGGACATACAGACACTGGTTACTGGTGCCGTAAGTCAGTACAGCCTTCCTGGAAACAACACGATTATGTGGGATACTGTGCAGGGCAACACTTGAATAATCTCATGTTCTGATTATCTAGGGAGCGAACGATGGTTCCTGCAGAGGACCACCTAGGCGACGCTCCTTAAAAGAGGAGCAATTGCCTCCGTTTTGGCTGAGCCTCATCCTATTTCCATGTATTGATATGTACTGAGCTGGCTGGGACTTTTCCTTATCTCTTCAATTGACTTTAGCGATACATACTGGTCTAGCTGAGGTGTTGACGGTAACCTTTGGAGATGGCAGGCGTGTTTCCCTGGACACCCGCCCCCATTGCTCCCTCGAGTGAGTGGGATGAGGCGGGATGTGTGAGCCAGTGCTACACGCTGTCGGCTGGGATGAGCCTCGGGAAGAGAGGCTATGACTTCCTGGGGCTTCAAAGATTACACATCAGAGCTGAAGCACCGACCCCAAAACATTAGATACTATCGCAATTGTCTTATACAGGTTACTCTTTTTGTATATCCTCTCTGCATTTGCAGAGGTGATTTCAGGCCTCCTACCTCGCCCAGCTCATGGCACTCAGCTGCGTTGCGCAGTTCTCACAGTCTCTCACCCTCAAGCCACTCCCCTCTTCACAAATGAATAAAATCTGGCTTCTGTCCTGGGTATAGGCCTTGGTTCCGGATAGCGATCATCAGGGCTGGACTTAGGACCCCTTGGCTCCCCATAACTACAAATATGCTTTAGTGTCTTTATTCTCCCTGTGGGTTGCACTGGAAGTGGTAGACTGGAATTAACTCACCAGAATTCAAGTAACTTTTCATGGAATTACAAACAGAAACTTCCTGGGCTGTGAGGAGGACTGGGAAGGGCTCTCTATAGGTTCCAAGAGGCCAAAGGACTTTTTCTGGATGGTGCAATCAAGATTCAAGGTCAGGCTCAACTAATTCAGAGTCTAGGCTCTATCTTTCTTAGACACCCAATTCTATTACATTCTAAGGCCATAAAAAGAACCTCCTTGGGGCTGGGGATACAGCTCAGTAGCACAGCGCCTGCCTGGCAAGTGCAAGGTCCTGAGTTCAATTTCCAGTACCAAAAAAAGAAACTTTCTGTGTAATCTCTTTCAGTGTGGGAAATGAGGTCCAAGGACAATTTCAGCAGAAAAGAAAAGCGTTATAAAATCTTCGCTGTAGAGCACACCGTGAAGGCGTTAGCATTTTCAGAGGAAAACAGAATTCTAATTACCCTACAATTAAACAAGAATAGTGAACGAACTTTTAATGATATGCTATCGTTTTTAAAGGAAATGATAAACATCACACAGAAACAGTTACATTTATTACAGCTTAATATAAAAAGTAAAAAAGAAACAAAAACAAACACTTTTTTTGTAGGATGCTGAATAATGAATGAGCCCAAGCTTGGCAAATGCTGGGCAAGGGCTTTACCACTCAGCTACACCCGCAGCCCCCAAAACTGTACTTTTTGTACCTACAATTACTTTTTGGTATTTGCTTGTCTTTAGGTTCTTTTTGTCTTTTTGAGACAGGGTCTCACTATGCAGTTCAGGCTGGCCTTGAGCTCACTTTGCAGCCCAGGCTGGTCTCAAACTTGCAACAACCCTCTTGCTTCAGCTTCCTGAGTGCTAGGATTCCAGGCGTGTGACACCATGACTGGCTGTACAATTACTTTTTAAAATCTGGCTGGGTAGAAAATTTCCAAGATTGAAAGTAAGGCTGTTTATTAACAGTATTCAGGCTCACAAACATTATCATCTATGATGTCTTTTATGTATAGGTTTTATTTTACAACAGAAATTCAGACTTTTTCATTTGTTTGTTTAAGATAGGGTCTTGCTGTGTAGTTCAGACTGAACTTAAACTCACTGTGTAGAGTCCAGACTGGCTTTTTTTATCCCCAGGCTGGCTCCGAACTCCTAGCAATCCTCCTTCCTTAGCCTCTCGAGTGCTGGGTTGACAGACATGCACCACTATGCCCAGCTTCAAAAACTGAGATTCTTAATGAGCAAAACAGATTTTTTAAAAAGCCACTATCTATTCAATGGAGTATCAATACCAAAAACAAACGAACAAACAAACAAAAGGAATGAATAGGGATACATTCAATGTGTATAACTGGAAAAAGCTAGAGACAGGAGAATACTACTCCGTTATTTCTCTGACATGAAACACTAGAATATACTAGAGTGACTAAACAGACCACTTGAGTCCTAGGGCCAGGTGCGGAGGTCACAGAAGAGCTTGTGGGGTACAGGACTGTCCTTCTGTTGACCATGGTTATGAGTAAACGGATGTATAAATTCAACATTCATCAACATATAAACTTTTTTTTCCATACAAGCTTTAGATGGAAGCATTTTATTACATGCACATTATGCTGCAATAAAGTTAGCTGTCAAAACTGAGAGCCCATGAGTTACTTAATGCAAAGTGGAAAGACTGCCATTTCATGGGTACAAAAAGAAACAGATACAAAAAATAAAAACTATCCTTATCACTTTAATTTAATTTAATTTAATTATTTATTTTGTCTTTTTGAGACAGGGTCTCACTATGCAGCTCAGGTTGGCCTTGAGCTCACTTTGTAGCCCACACTGGTCTTGAACTTGCAACAATCCTCCTGCCTCAGCCTCCCAAGTGCTGGGATTACAGATGTGTAACACCATGCCTGGCTCTGTTTATCATTTTTAAAAGCCTAAATACTTAGGGAAACAATTACTCAAATTTACTCTATAAACTAAAAGCAAAAAAATATGATTAAGAAATATAGAATAAACTGTTATTTTCAAAAGTTTAAAAATAATTATAAAGTTTGCTGTGCTGAAGTTTATTTTTCCCTTTCTTTGAATGATTAAAGATGTCCTCATATGTAAAATACCATACTTGGGACTATTTCATAAAACTTTTCAAAGCCAGCCAGGTGTGATTATTCACAGCAGGTTGAGGCAGGAGGATCGCAAGTTTAAGCCCACCCTGGGCAATGTAGTGAGACTCTGTCTCTAAACAGAAAATAAAAAGGGCTGTGGATATGGGTCATGACAGAGCACCCCAGGGTATCATCCCTAGCTCTGAAAAAATAGAGAGGAAAAGAAATTCTAGACCCATCTTACAATGACCACAGAAATAAAATCTTTACTAAGTCACCTACTTGGAATTTATGTAACATTAAAAGGAAACAAGAATTCCTTACTACAGAATGAAAAATATCCATACATACGCATAAAGAATTCTTGGTTAAGTTCTTAAAATCCATACCCAGATGGTATATGAGGACATGAAATGAAACAAAATCTCCTTTTCAGGAAAGCCTAAGTCGATGCATTCATTACACCAGTGGTTTCTTTGCTCTCCGGTTTGATCAAGTTGAGTAAATTAGCTCTAGGACGGCAACGGTGGCAACGTCACTAAGCATGCAAAGTGGGAATCTAATGGCTGCGACCAATGACACACCCCACCTCACACAGGTGACACCCTAATTGCTGGTACCACCCATCTGGCTGGTGAAATGCAGGTGTAAGATGGATTTGTTGTTATCTCTGACTTGAAATCTTTCATCTTGACTGACATATTTATAGTGCAGCTTCAAAGGCTGTGGTCAACATGGTGAGGAAGATGAGCAGGGTTTCGCTGCCTCTGCCTCAAGAAAAGCTGGGTCTCTCCTCAAACTGTGCAGGTACCAAAGAGGTACTCCCTTCCATTAACGTTAGCTGTTGGCAGTGGTGACTTTTTGGGGTTTTGTGAGGCACAGTCTCGCTATTCAGTCCAGGCTGGCCTTGAACTTATGATGTAGCCCAGGATGGCCTCTATCTCAGAAGGATCCTCCTGCCTCAGCCTACTGTCTCACAAAGATCCTCCTGCCTCAGCCTACTATCTCACAAGGATCCTCCTGCCTCAGCCTACTGAGTACTGGGATTGCAGGCCTGTGCCACTATGGCTCCAATGATGAATTTTAAAAGTACATAAAACAAAATTCTCAAGGAAATAAACACAATTTTTAAAAGGTCCTATTGCCAGAGCCTACTGCCATTAAGGTTCATAAGAATACTTTATAATACCTAAAATCAAACATCAAAAATGACATTTTCATACATAATTCACAGACATAATTTCTCTCCCTTCACCTTTTAACACATTCTGGAAACACATTGTTCTTGAGCTCAACAAAACGTGGCCCCTGCCCTTTGATCTCACCTCCCCTGAGAAAAGGGGCTCCCTGAAATTAAAGTACAAGGATAGGAATTTAGAAGGCCCTGGATATTGGGAAGCAACACTGAGGTCAGCTCTATAAAATGCCACAGCATGAGCTCTTCCAGATCTTTCCATTTCTCCAGCACGGTGCGGGAGTGACGTCCGTCTGTTCTCCGCACTCTCTCCGCTGTGGTTCACACGTGTGGGATGCGACACCCACTTTAGCCAAAGATGCTAATGCCATCACTGAACCAGGCGGCACTCTTGGTGGCTGACTGTGTTACTAGAAGTTGCCCCTTGGTATCCCCAGGAGGTTCAGTCTGGGACCCTTCAAGGACACCAGAGTCCACGGAGATGCTCAAGACATCTATATAAAGGCAGGTGTGGCTCGCACCTGTAATCCCAGCACTCAAGAGGCTGAGGCAGGAAGAATACTATCAATTCAAGGCTAGCCTGGACTACATAGTGTGACCCTGTCTCTCACACAAAAATGGACCAATATTTGCATATAATATATGTATATCCCTTTATACTAAATCACCTCTAAATTACTTATAATATCTAATACCCTATATAATCAAATACCACGTACATCTAATATTGCATAACTGACTTACACTACCTAATACCACATACATGCTGCAGAAATCTGTGTGCTGTACTGTGCTGCCTATGCCATAGTGCCGTAGAAATGCCTGTGCATGTCTCAGTACCGACACAATCATCATGGGAGTAACTGCTCCGTGGTCAGCTGAATCCATGGGTACAGAGCCCATAGACACAGAGACACTAACTGCATTATAGAAATTATGGTATTAGGAATATGGTCATCATTAAACTGTTCATGTGTTCACTGTAAAAACAGAATATACAGAGAAAGATAACAGAATAAAATAGGGCTGGGGATATAGCTCAGTGGCACAAGTGCCTGCCTGGGGGGGGCAAGGTCCTGAGTTTGATTCCTGGCACCCTCCCCCCAAAAAAGAATAAAATAAAAAGCCTAGAATTCTGCTACAAGAGGTAACATCTTTGGTACATATTCTTGATCCAATTTTTTCTGCATGTATAATTTCTATATAGATGACATATAAAATGATTATCTTTTTAAATAAAAGGTACTGTAGAGTTGAAACCCACAGCCTCCCACCTATTAGGCAAGCACTCTACCACTGAACTACATCCTACCCTCTTCTCAATTCTTCTATAGTAGACAATTTTCCACATTATTAAATATACCTGAACATGAATTTTACTTCTTACAAAGGACCTCATTTAATGAGTAGAGTACATTTTAAACTATTCCTCAATTCTTGATTTACATAGGTTTAGGAGGAAATTATATTATTTATTACTATTGCTTATAGAAAGGAATATTTTCCCCTCCTTTTCCCCAAAGTCTATTTCTGTGTCTTTGCTTAGAACTTCTACAACAAAAATGTCATATTCATGATCTTAATAAATATCAGCTGAGTTTTTAATATTTCTAGTGGGCCAACACTTTAAAAAAAGTAACTGTAGAAGAAATATTTAAAGACACACAAATCTGTCCTATAAACAGAATACATAACCAGGATCAATTTGTGAGGTGCCTGCACTGTGTCAGCTTTATGCACAAATCTCCCTTCCTTTCTAGATGAGAGGTCCTTTGGTCATGAGATCAAATTTCAAATGCCAAAACCTCTCATTTCAGTTCAGCTATACAGCTAGTAGTCCCTCAAGACCTTTGTTGCTAACAGGAAGAGGAAACAGTTGTGAACCGGGACCTGAAACCCCAAGAGGAAGACAGGACCCACAGGAGTCTCTGACCCCTCAGGGTGAGCAAGTCTCTGCTGCAAGTGCCCCCTAGCGACCACCAGCTCTAACAGCTGGGACTCACAGTAAGAACAGGCTTCTGGGTCATTAGGGGTCTTGCTCTTTGCCATGTAAGTATCTTATTTCTCCATCAATTCTGACAGATAGCTTTGCAGGGTACATCAGTCTGGGCTGGAAGGTGTTTTCTTTTAGAGCTTGAAATACTTCATGCTCTCCTTGCATTAAGGAGGTTTGACTTGTGCTGAGAAGTCAGCTGTGACTCTGAGGGGCTTTCCTTTACAGGTGATTTGTTTCTTTCCTTTAACAGCTTTTAATATTCTGTTCTGTTTTGAATTTCTGGAATCTTGACTATTACATGCCTTGGTGTAGTTTTTTTTGGTCAAGGCTAGTTGGAGTTCTCTATGCCTAACAAAGCTATACGGTCATAGCTGCAATGTCTTTTCCTCTGCCAGGGAAGTTTTCTGCCATGACATCTGTGAATGGGTTTCTTATGCTGTGTCCTGCTTTTTTGTTGACTCTGATCAATCTTATGTTGTTCTCTGCATCATCTTGAAGGTACTGCATTGATTTTTCATGGTCCCTTGCTATTTTTAAGGAAACCACAACCCTGTCTTCTAGATCTGATATTTTGTCCTCACATTAGTTCATCAAGACAATGGTGAGATTCTATCTCATCCCAGAATGAATGGCTACCATTAAGAAATCAACCAATGACAAATGCTGGCAAGGCTGTGTGGAAAAAGGAATCCACTGTAGAAATCAGTGTGGAGATTCCTCAAAAAACTAAAACTAGAGGTTACATTTGACCCAGCTATTCTCTTCTTTATATCTTCCCAGAAGGAATTAAAAGCATCATACCACTGCAATATAGGCATACCTATGTTTACAGTAGTGCAGTTTGTAATAGCTAAACCTTGGAAACAGCTCAAATGCCCATCAACAGAAGAATGGATAAAGAACGTGTGATATTCTTATACAATGGAGTATTACTGCGTCATAAAGAAGGATAAATTTGAGGAATTTATAGGCTAAAGGATGCATCTTGAGATTGCACTAAGTCAAATAAATCAGACACACATTTAAATATCCCACTGTTTCTCTGATGTGAGAAACTCAAAGCATAAATAAGGACCAAAATGTATAACAGATATTGGGGAAAAGGGAAGAAAATGTTCAAATAAAAAAGGGAAAAGGGGAGGGGGAGGGGAAAAGAAGAAAGGGAAAATAAAGAATAGGAGGAGAAGAAAGGAAACAAAGCTTCTGTAAATAAGGTGGAAAAAAGGGGCTGAAGGGAGGGGAGGAAAATGGGAGGAAAATGGGAAAAAGAAAAAGAATCAAGATATATCCTGTACAGGTACAAATTCCCTATGATGAATGTGATCACAATGTATATCTAAAATGAACAAATAAAACTAACAGAAATTTAAAAGAAAAATAGGAGTCACATGTGTCTCTGAGAGACCCAAGATTTTTTTGGTTTTATTTTGGTGGGGGGCGCATGCTCAGGGATGCTGCTCCAGGTGAGCCATGCCCTGTCCTGACCCCAACCCTCAGCTGGCTCGCAGCAGAGCCCTTGTGCTCCCTCCCCTGGAAGCCGGTCCTCACCGTGACCCCAAAAGATGGAAAACCCACCCCCTACCTTTGTTCAAATGTAATCATTTCCATCTGCATTTTTAAAAACTGTTTATTAAAATGGAAAATGCAATCTGTCGTTCCTAATAGAAGAAAACAAAAAAGTAACTTACAATAACTTCTCTGAAGGACTCTTGGTCATTGATTGTCTTATCTTCTATACATCCAGACTGATTCAAGTAATGGTAGTTTTCTGGCACAGATAAATAAAATTCTTCTACAGAAAGAAAAAGAATGTAACATCAGCATTCCACTGGCTAGAATAACAAGGGATTCAAAAGAATTCATTCTATGATTTTATTTTGTTTTGTTTTTTTTTAAAGAGGATCTCACTATGTAGTCCAGGCTGGTCTTAAACTCACTATGTAGCTCTAGCCAGCCTTGAACTCACAGCAAAGTGTACATTCACTGCAATTGTGGGAAGCGAACAGCAGGAAGACAGACACCTAGGCAGTTCCTGCTGTGTTTTAAATGCGGAGTGAGTTGTGAACCGAACTTCGGCATTGCCTGCTCACTCACCTCTCTCTCCGGGACCCAGCCCAGCCAGCAGTGCATAGAATATGTGATAATTCCTTTCCCCTGGATTTTGCCTTACTACTCGGTTCTGTGGAGAGAAATCAAATTTGCACTCAGAGCTGTTTTCTCTGCTTAATTCCTACAAAGCGATAATCACTGATGTCTGTTACTGTGGAATAATGTGAATCAAATCATCTGAACTTACTTTTTCTAATAAATCTTCATGTGAAAAGCAATGGCAAGTCAAGGAACAAAACAAAGATAAAACAAACAGCAACTGTCTCTAATTTCCTTTTCTTACCTAAACAATTAGGGCTGCCTGTTGTGCTGACACTGAAATTTCTACCATTAAAAGATAAGCAAATGAAGCATAGATTGTTTCACCTAAATCGAATTTCAAACATGACACTGCCTTATCGGTACCAAACCACCTGGTGGGTTTACACCAACACCTGATGCTTGGTGACTGCTGTGGTTAGATGCAGTCTGAGGGTCCCCAAGGGTCCTGTGCGGCCGGTTTGGTCCCAGTACATGGGGTTCTGGGGGGCAGGACCTTAGAGAGGGGCCCCATGGGAAATGGTCCAGTCAGTCTCGGCGCTCTGCCTTCACAAGTGATTCATGCTGATCTTGTGGGTGCATCAGTCCTCTCAAGAATGGGCTGCTATAAATTGAGGTCAGCTGTCTGGGTGCTCTCTCTCTCTTCCTCCCTCTCTCGCTGTCTTGACAGGAGGCCCTTACTGCACTGTTCAGCCTCCAAAACTGTTAGCCAAAATAACCCCTTTATTATTATTGTTACTTTGGCTTTTTAGAGAGAGGATCTTGCTATGTAGTCCAGGCTGGCCTTGAACTCACTATGTAACCCAGGCTAATCTTGAACTCAAAGCAATCCTCTTGCCTCAGCCTCCTGAGTGCTGGGATCACAGGTGTGCACCACCACACTCAGTTATTCGACTCTTTTTGAAAAAACCTTTCCTTTTAAAGTACCCAGAATTAGGCATTCTGTTACAGCAACAGAAAGTGGACTAATACAATGGTGAGCACAATCTTTTTTGGCTTGGAGAGCCATTCAAAATGGTTCATCTCATAGAATAATTAAAACGTTAAGTACAGTAACATTAAAGCAATAACAAGGCAGAAGCAGAGTAGGAAATGTTTCTCATGCAGTTTCTCAGTCCTTGAGATCAACGAGTTCGGACACTGCACGAAACTCGATGAAGCAGGATACAATCTACAATCTTCCCGCCCTGGATATTTCCCCTCTGACAGATGTGCAGCTGAACGAACTTCCCGAAGCGGCTGGAGTTGTTGTTGTACACCGTCTTCGCGTTGCCGAAAGCCTCCATGATGGGGCTGTGAGAGGAAGGAGGGCAGCAGAGAGCACTGTCAGAGCAGGGCTGAGAATGGGCCTCCCTCAGAAACGGCCAAGTGGACAAAGGCATGGCGACAAGTCTGCAGCCAGAGGCTCTAGGATGACGATGTCCACATCCCCACAGCCAGATCTCCCTAGCACACTGCTGTGGGTTTATCCTGCACATCCATGTGAATGAGAGGATGAACCCACGGCTGCTGGGGTCAGCAAACGATGTCACACAGCTTGCCCTGAGCCTTCCCAGCTGAACGCTGGACAGAGCCCGCTCTTAAGAGAACCCGCTCTTACACAGTGCTTGACAGTCAGCATTTCTGCTGCTAATGGCATTAAAAACCCTACAGAGCTTTACTGTCCCCACAAAGTCCCACACTAACGTCCAGGTCCTTCAGAAACAAAGGAAGCTGGGGTGGAACCCCAGGGAGGAAGGAGGCCAAGACTGCTCCTCCCACATCCAGGCACCATCTCTAACTGGCCCAGGAGGAAGGGTCGGGGCACCTGCAGTGGAAGGAGCTGTGGCAGTTATTGGGAGGCACTGCGCATGCGTCCTGACAGTTTCTTAAGGAACTGTGAAGGAGAAGCCAAGAAAAAGAGAAACCAGACTAACCACTCTTAACTCCTATACACCACAGTCCTACCAGTTGGAGCAAGAAAGTGAATAAAAGACAAACCTGCTTTCAAGGATAGCCTGCTCCACGCAGGAAGTCTTCTCCTTCACTGACAGTTCCAAAGCCTGCTGGCTGATGGCCGACAGGAACTTGAGGATCAGTTTGGTGCTTTCGGTTTTGCCTGCCCCGCTTTCACCGCTAAAAGACAAAAGGCAGAAGCGCGCTTCTAAGTACAGGCACTGTTTAAGGCCTCGAGAGAAAAAGCGTGGGAAGGTGGGGAAGTGAGGTGCACGCTGCGAAAGGGCTGAGAGAGGGCAGCGGGCGCCCCCATCCTGCAGGGCACCCCGTTTCTGGTTTGCAACAGCCCAGCTTTCCCTAAGTGGAGGTCAGAAGATGGGGGTGCAGCAGGGAAGCTGTGCGACAGTGAGGACCTGCCTTTGGCTCACTGCCGCACCCCGACACGCCTCCTGCCGCCCACCTGCTACATACTGGCTACATGAACGAGCACATTAACAGCGTCTTTCTGGAAAGCTTAAAGCAGATAAATGTGCACAAAACGAAACCATTCATCAGCCGAGGAGACGAGGGAGTGAGCGACCCTGTGGGTGCACAAGTGAGCCCCGTTAGCCACACTAGGCCCGCAGAACTGAATGCCAGGTCGGTCTGACCCAGGTCCCCTGGAGGTCGTGCGTCAGTGGTGGCGAAGGAGATGTGAACACCGCGATCCGGCCCGAGCAGGGCAGCGAGAAAGCAGGTCTGTGGGCGCCTGAGAAAACGGCCCAGGGAGGGCGGCAGGCAAGGAGAAGGGGAGGATCATCGGTGAGGCAGGAATGCGAGGAGGCGCGCGGCAGCCAGGTCAGCCTCGACAGGTCCTCAGCGAGAGCCAGGCTGTGACAGACAGGTGACAGGTTAGCTAGCCAGACCACACCAGGGCACAGAGGGGGACGGGCGAAGACTGACCACCCAGCTGGCCTGCGAAGAGCAGAGCGGCAGGGGGAGTCCGCTAAGGAGTGGCCTTCGGGCTGCTGCTCTTAGGCGGGAAGCACTCGAGTCCTGGATGCAGAACACAGAATGGGCGTGAGATGCGGAGGGAGAGGCCCAGTCAGGTCTGTGCGGGGCCCTGCCCTCGGGGCTGTGGGGCGGGCAGGAGCAGCGAGAAAGTGAGGGAAGGCTGAGCAGCGGCACCGAGGATGACCACCAGGGCGGCAGCAGGCTGCGAACCGCTGAGGGTGGCATTCCCCCAAGAGGCCCTCCGAACTGTCGGAGAATTCATAACGCAGTGCCGAGATCGGACGTCATCAGGAGGCAGGAAGGTGCTGCAAACGCGGAGAGGGGCGCACAAGAGGGAACGATTCAGAAAGGACACCACACAAGCCAGGCGGGGCCCACAGCCCTCGGGGAAGCCCTGCTGGTCCGGGGCCACGCAGAACCCCCCAGTACACACACCGGTGTGGCGGCAGGGCTTGCGAAGGTGACAGAGCCTGGCCACAGGGACCTCGTGTCGGGCGCTGTGGGATGCTAGCAAGGTTTGCATGGACAGGGACATGGACAAATGGCTCCTTCCTGTAGACGCGGATGCCTGAGAATCCACACCCATCTCAACCAAGAATCCACACTCGCCTGGGATCTAAAGCAGAAGTCAAGCGAGTCGGACAAGCCCAGCAGCTGCGGCTGAGCCCAACACCTTGAACCCGCCCAGCCTGGTGTTGTGTGAGATAACAGAAGGCCCAGCTTTGGCTCGGGTTTCCTCTGCCAGCCACCAAAGCCTCGCTTGTCCAGGGCTACATGTTCATCCTCACAGGACTGGTACCGGCGACATGCACGGGAGAAAACAGCAACTGACAGCTCCGAGGGAATCTCTGAACAGTTCTCCACACTCACAGAAATAGGTATCTTCGCAGCAGCTGCGGTGGTTGAATTACTGAAAATGGAAGCGTTCCTCAGACTCGGTGAGGAAGAAGCTATTGAGTACTTGCCGAAGCCACCTCTGTGTCCTCGGGCGCACAGGAGGACCCACTGCAGCCCTCCTCACCTCTGTGTCCTCGGGCACACAGGAGGACCCACTGCAGCCCTCCCCGCAGCAGGAGCAGCCGGCCAGGCGCAAGGGGCTGAGAGTGGCCAGGGGAACCGCTCAGCAGCGGCCGTCTGCGCACGGTGCTCATGGTGACGGCGAACGATTAAATCACACATCTTTACGAGGCGCAATCACAACGCGGTGAAAGCCGCTGCCGGTGCCATCCAAGGGCAGGGCAGGCTTGTCAACCGTGACAGCGTGTCCCGCTTGAGCTTACTCACCAGCCCGGCCCCTCGTGACTTCCGGCTCTTCCCCCAAGTCAAAGTGACCATGAGAGGGGAATATGTTTTGAATCCCTTCAGGACCCCGGGCAGCCGTGGGCATCCGGGTGCTCAGACAGACTTGGGGGAAGGAAAGGCGCATGAGAGGCGGAAGTAGAGCGTGAGAGCTGAGCGCGGAGCCGAGGGGAGGCCAGGGAAGCCGGGGGAAACCAGCAGGATGGAGCACCGTGGAGGGCAGTGGGCGGGGCTCTCCCAGGGATGGCCACACGGGATGTGTTTGAGTGACGGCAGTACCGATTCAGTAAAAGCGCACAGAAAAAGATCACAGAATCAGGGCAGCGAGGCTCAGATGAAGCAGCATCCTCAGGAAAGCAGGGAGGAGCGACCCGAGCACACCGGGGGGACGGCACCAGCCTGAGCGTCCCTGGCCCTCGGGCTCTCGGGTTTCCTAGCACAGTCTTCTGGGCTGGCAGCCTCCTCGATCCCAAGCCGGAGTCAGCAAACTGTGGCCCTCAAATCCTTGCTGCTGCCTGCTTTTGCAATAAAGTTGCTTTGGAAACCTGCTCTGTCCCTTCACACACTGTCAGTGGTTGCTCCCCAAGCGCAGAGCAGAGGAGCTGCGACAGGCGGCCTCAGCCTCACACTTCAAACGCACCTTCTCTGTCCCTCTCACTCGACTCCCCCGGCAAGCATTTCCTTTCCCGTGAATTGAACTCCCCCGAGTCACATACTTTTTCACAACACATAAATCAGGCGACTTTTTGGCTTTCCAGAAGGCTGGAGACTTTTCTCCTCTCTCAAGCATTAAGGCCAAAGGCCTCAGGGAACTAAGAAAAGCTCTTAAGCACAACCTGTTCCAGGAAGTTGGATTCTGTTATGCCAGAGACTCCAGTTCAAAGCCTGTGTTTGCTGCTAACACCTAAAATCTTTTTAGCAAGTCACTCAACTTTCCCAAGCCTCAGTTTCCCCACCCACAATGCAGCGGGGCCGCTCCTGTGAGCTGCCCTCCCAGGCTGTCTCCCCAGGGACACACGCTTCCTTCACATCCCAAAGCCATCATTTCTAGATATATTTCTAGAAACAGAAAAAGACCAAACACCCAATTACCATTCCAGGAGATAAAAAGACACAGTTAAAACGAAACTGCTTCTTTTTGAAAACCCCAAACATACAAAGCTATCAAAGACCCTGAGCCAGAAGTCACTCTGAATTATTCAAATTATTCGTCCTCTGACTGACAGCTGCTGAATGGGGGCCTTCTACCACACATTCACCCAGTCCTGCTCCCGGGGCTCCAGGAGAAAAGAGCCTCAGGCTTGCTCACTGTGATGCAAAAACAACGGAAGGCCATTGTTTTACTCTGAGCTCCCGCACCAGACCCCCCAAATCAGACCAAAGCAAAATGGAGTCACTCCTGCTAAATGCCACATAATTAAATGGAGGCTTGTGGGAGCACAGAGATCCCAAAACAGACAGTTTTTCCGGAAAACAGGAGACTGCAGTCTACCTACGTCAGGAAAATCTCTTCTGGTGCTTTAACCTTTATAAGAAACTAACTTATCAGTTAGTTTTCTAAGGTTCCTTTTTTCCCCACATTACAGAGCCCTCTGCCTCGCTATTTATTTTCCAGGGAGGAACTCTCATTCTATTTTGCAGAACAATGGTCAATCTGATTCACAAATGGTGGGTAAAAGCCAATTAGATTTATACGTAAATTTGTTGTGATTTTTGTCTTTGGACACTACTTTATTTTAAAGGGAACAGACCAAATTAAACTAAATCTCACCTGCCCTACACAATGTACCAACAACTAAAGTCAAGTTTAAATGTATTAGATCAACCAAGGTCAAGTGCTGACTTTATTAGATGAAAAAACATTCTCAAGTGAGTTTTAAATTTACATCTTTGTACTTTTCCATATTTATATTTAAGGTGATAATGGCATACATTTCCATTTAAATATGTACAGAAAGGTAAAATAAAGCTAGAGCTTAAGACAGGCAACAATCCTGAAATGAAATCAAAGAAAGTGGTGTGGACCAGACGCCACGGGGGCTGATATCGTCACCATAGCTGGTGACCTCATTACTCTAAGCAGTATACAATCACAGAGTGATAGAAAATGGAACCATAAACTTCTACTTAGCTCCAAATAGGCTTATTTTCTGATTTACGGACTTACTCATTTGGGGAGGCTGAGGATTGAGTATTTTCTGATTTTAAAAACACTAGCAAGAGAAAATGTTTTGGAAATGGTGAAATACTTTGTATCCACCAGGGGGCAGATGATCCCAAGGAACTCTAAATGGGGCTCCCGTACCCACCCAGCAACTGCTTTTATACTTAATTTTCTCTTATTTCCTACCGCCCCACCTCACCCCCACTTAAAAAACAAACAAAAATCTGGATAAATCTATTAATATAATAACACATCTTAGCGAGACATTTGTTCTTAACGTCCATGTTTCCTGAATTAGGTTAGATAAATACAGCTCTACTTTTACCTCCGCATCACAGAATGGGGCTTTCTGTTTGGGACTTGTTCCCCACCCATCACCCCCTTAGTTTTAAATACCACTGTCTTTGGCATGAAAGTGCCAACCCCCTTCCGTTTCATGACACCCGTACGCATGCACGCACACACGCAATGATCTCATTGATTCCTCACTGTCTTCCCTAAACTGTGCTGTCTAGCAACTGATACCTTAGCATGCGCTCATCTTTCCACTGAAAGTAACAATCATGACAAATTATCAACGGCAAGTATTTAGCTACCTAAATGTGGACAACAATCTGATAGTCTTATAGGGATTACTTTTTTTTCTGTTACCTTATGGAACTGTATTCTGTATACTGAAATAGTGACCTTTAATTCTAACTTCAATGAAAACTTTTTATTAAAACCACCTAAAACTACTCACAACTAGTGCTTCTAGTGAGTGAAAATTCAAATTCTTTTACTGGGCCTATGAGTTTTAAACGCTCTTTCAGTATTAAGCAGGTAGTTTCATTCTGATCAGCTGCAAATTAGCACGATCCCTGACTGAACACAACCGTTCTCTACCCAAGTTGTTTCCCTGCCCCACACAACTGGGGCGTTAGCGGGTGATAAAGAGAAGCTGGAACATCTACCTGTCTGTCCACATGCTTCCAGAGAGAACGAGTGTACCTCTGCACATACATGTCATTTTCATTTGTTAAAATAATAAGGAACCACCACAAGGATGACAGGTAAGCAGCCGGTGTGAACACATTCCCTGGGAGTCACCCTCCGGCGACACCTGCAGGCGTCCTGACCTCAGAAAGGTTCGGGGCCTTAATGTCTGCCGAGTGGTTGGCACGAAGTCCAGCACCACAGCCCTCCAGAAACGTCGGCCACTGTTTCACAGCCCATGGGGACAGTAAAGTCCCATGTGTCTTTGGGTTAAGGGACTCTGCATTTCCCCCGCCTCCCTGGCAGGCCCGCCCTTCCTTGCTGGGAGAGCCCGAAGGAAAGAGAGGGATGGGCCCAGCGGGGTCTGCTCAGCCCTTCAGGTCTGCTCACCACCCCCTGGACTGGTTTCCCGCATCGGTCACGGCCACCAGTCACCTGGCCGCGCCCATGACACCTGGGCCTGTCTGTCTGTGTGCCTGCCTGCCTGCCAGATTTGGGGCTGCACCGTGGGCCAGCCCGAGTGGCTGGACAGCTAAAGATAACATCCGCCTCTCCATCTGTCTCTTTCGTCTTACATCTTCTGAATTAGAAATTTGGAGGGCTGGGTACTTTTTAATTATTCTCTCCCAAATCCGAATCCCTTTCCTCTTAATGTAATAATTACTTTTCCACAACTCAGGACTAGAAAGCCACGTCAGACACATCACAGTCTTTCACACTAGCGGCTTCACTAGACCACTGCTCTTCAGCAACAGCCATATTCCATGCGTGATGGAATAAACGCATGAAGGGGGAACGGGTGACATGTATGACGCGTCTGGCTACTCTATGGAAACCGTGAGGCAAGTGACCTTCACCACGTCGGCTCTGGACATCAGCGGGGCCGTGTCAGTCATCTCTAGAACAGGACTCTAACATGAACAGTGATCAGAGGATCTGACAGGATGTCGCTGGAATCTGTGTGAGGACGTCAGTGTGAAATAGCAATAATACAAATTGAGATACGTATCATATATATGCTGGGGACTGAACGCAGGGCATTATATTCAGCAAGAGCTCTACACTCCCAGCCTGGGAAGTTTTTCAAAATATTCTATTGCTTTATAGGAAGTTACTAATGACAAAGGTTTTAATGGTAGGATTCCTAGTTCTTTATTTTTTAAAAAAGAGTTAGTCTTAGCTAAAATGAATAGCCAAATCGGAGAAGAAAATAATTGAAACAAACATGCCTTTGTACCATTCCCCATATATATATATATATATATTTTACCCTCTATTCTGTTACTAATTTTTAAGTAAGCTTTAGAAGCATTCAATGAATAACTTTTCTTAAATTTGGGGAAATTTAATCTAAAGTAATTGTATCATACTAGATGAGAAAGGGGAAAAAAGGAGCCAAGTTCAAGTATACAAGCTTTCTGACCAGCATTCTGTTTTTTTTTTTTGGTACCAGGAATCAAACTCATGACCTCAGGCTTGCCAGGCAACCACTCTGACCAGCATTCTAGAATGCATGAATTACTTTAAATTTGGAAGAATCAGGAAACGTTTCCTTAAACAGAAAGATGATGCCTCATAACTGAAATACACTAAAGAAAAATTAAGGTAACTTGGGGGGCGAGATGAGAATGGATCAAAGAGGGAATAGAGTTTGTTCTGAAGACAAAGCCGGCCAGCACAGTCCCTGGGCCGCTCTTCTGAGCGAGGGCTTGCTTTCTGAAAGCTGTAAATAACGTCCTTCCTCTGAGAAGGCAGCAGTCCCTCCCCCACGTTTGCGGAAAGCCAGTCCCGAGCCCGGCCCGCCCCGGCCTCCCCTGGCCAAGCTCACCTGATGAGGACGCACTGGTTGTCGTGGCGCCTCCACAGGCAGCGGTAGCACTCGTTGGCGATGGCGAAGATGTGCGGCGGGAGCTCGCCCAGGTGGCGCCTGCTGTAGCGCTCCATGGTGGCGCCCTCGTACAGGCCGGCGATGGGCTGGTAGGGGTTCACGGAGGCGAGGATGGAGCCGATGTAGGTCTGCAAGCACACGGGCAGGGGACAGGGGCAGCGTTATGGCCAGGGCACCACGGCCAGGGCGTCACCTTCCTGCCACGCTGCACACCAGGCAGAACTGGATGGCCCGGGTCAGCAAGACCTACACTGTGGTGACAGAGAGCTCTGCACGTCTCTGTCCCCGCTGTCCCCACGCCTCCGGGCGCAGAGGCCTTCCCTTCTGTGCCAGTGAATGGAGCTGTTTCAAAGGGGCTTTTGGGGGAAAGGTAAACCGGAGAAAGGCGGGTGCCCAGCCCCAAATCCCCTGCCAGGCTGATCCCTTAATCCAAATCCCTTCCCGGCACAAAGAGCTGTCTGTGCCACTTTCCTCCGTCCTCCTGCAGCCAGAACGGAACAGTGGGCAGAAAAGGTGACAAAGCGGGAGACACTTGCTGTTCGGCAAGCGCAGCTCCTGTGTGGGGATTTGGGAAAGCTCGGAGCTGGTCAGCAGCTGCGGACGCACGACACCGTCAACACACAGAATGCCGCACAATGGTGATCTGAAAACAGAACGGCAAATGCTACGCTATGTACAGCCGGCTAGGTCTGTTTCCAGTAGTTGTGCCCTCTGCGAAGGGCTGTGGGAACTCATCTGCAGCTTCGGTGACCATCTTGCCATTCTGGGGCAACACACAGGCCAGAAAATGAAGCAAAAACCTCTGTCCAGCAAAACAGAAGCTGCAGAGTTTCCTAGGGTCAGTGCCTGGGCACTCAATGCCGAAGGCTCTGGACTCTACCTCTGCAATGTGCGCTAGGACTGTGCGGCTACCAGGTATCCAGACCCAGACTCAGAACAGGCAGATCCACAGAAATGAAGGGGCTGGGGGCTTTCAAGGACTGGCGAGGCAGGAATAGAGAGGGAGTGCTTAATGGATACAGGCTTTCCATTTGGGGTGCTGAAAACATTTTGGAACTAGACAAAGGTTTTGGTTATACAACATTGTAAATGTATGAAATGCCGCTGGATTGAACACTTTACAGTCATTAACTTTATGCTGAGCAAATTTCCCCTCAGTTAGTGAAAAGAAAGTCCTTTCAGAAGTTCAGCCCTTTGGAAACGCCAACTGTCTGGACAGCCCACCTTTTCTGTCAGAGAACTGTAAGGAAGATTTATCCAGAAAGAAAGATGGAAGCTGCTCACTCCCTGGAGAAAGGAGAGCTTCCTACTCTCAAAGGAGGGTGCATACACCCCCATCGACGCCTGACCACTGGTGTCCTGGGTCTCCTTCCACCCTGGCTCTCAGTAGAGGTAACGTAGGGGCTGAGAGTGCCTGGTCTCTCCATTTATTCTGTCTGAAACAGCAGTTCTTTCTATCTGGTCAGTGTTATTTTTATTCTGCAAAATTAAAAAATGTTCATTTTACTATGAAATATGTTATTTTTCTCCTATGTTGACAGAAGGCAATCCCATCTCTTGTTTGAGAACTGGATAGGCCAACAGAGGAAGACACCTCACAGCAATCAATATGGCGGGCTGAGCTGTGGCGCTATGTCTAACTCATCTGACCTTGATTGGTGTTAGGATGTATATCTGCCATTAATATGCCCGTATCTTGGATATGTTACACTCCCTCTTCCAATATGCATAGGTGTTAAAAAACTCTGAGCTGAGCCCTTTCTTAAGGTATTGATTTACTCATAAAACCTCCACTAATCCTACACTCATTTGTACATGAGCTTTCTTTGAAAAATGCTCATTTCCACTAGAATCTCTCAGCCACATTACCTCTTTCTGACTAGCCAACCTCTCCAGCCATATAGCATCCTTTAAGGACACTACTCACTCTGTCAGAGTGGTAGGATGGTTTCCTATGGGGACAGGAGGTCCAGCATGGTCTGACACCTAATGAATCTTTTATAGTAGTTCACACTGCACCTGGCTCAGTGAAACAGTTTTCAATGTCTAGATTGAAACATGGCGGCTGTGCCAGCCACAGACCGGAAGGAAGTCAAGGTCTGCATGCCAGCCCCACCCAATCAGCAGAGCTTCCGGAGCTGACTGGAAGCTGGGTGCTCCTGGCAGCAGCCCTTCTGTGCACAGGCAGTCCACAGATTTGCAAATATGTGGCTCATCTCTTAGTGATTACACCCATCGGACTTTGTGAAAAGCATCACTGTACTTTTCCCTGCAGACCACACAGCTGTAGGGCCGCCAAGATAGCCAATCTATGACTTTAAGATCAGAAAAATTATTCCACATATCTCAGGCTGCTCAGTGGAGCCACCGTCTTCAGGAGAGGGGTAAATGTGTGTTGTGAGGAAGAGCCAACGGTCCCCCAAAGTATAAGCACAGCATGGGTGGGATGAAAGACAAAATCATCGAAGTTGGTCTGGTTGCAGGAAGACGTTACTGGTAGCCAATGACCAACACCATGGCTCACCATGGCTGGTGCTGGACCCATCCCTAACACCATCTGATGTCCACGTCTGACTCTCAAAGGTGGTGGGAATGTACTGCACAACTGTCCATCAGTTCAGTCAGCATCCGAGGACAAAAAATGGTCCCCTATTAATCCTACAGTGTCAAGAAATTAATATATTGTGAATAACTGACTTGCACTGCTTCATGTGAGAAAGCCTTGATTTTTCCCATTTTGATGGAAAACTTGTAGGGGGTACAGCTTATGCTCCTGTGTCCTTAAACTAAGGTTAGGGTAGCTGATTTAACCTTTTGTTGAGGATTTTGGGCTCACTGAGACTCTAGTAAAAATGCTACTCACTAGCAAATGAGGTGGACTTCATTACCTTGTAATCTACACTGAAGTTGCCCGAGGCTCCACAGCCCTCTCCCCACATTAGCTGCTGGCTTTACCCATTCTTCTCACCCCTCCTGTGGCCGTGCGGAGGGAGAGAGGCTGGCTCCAAACCAGCCACAGAATCAGAGCTGAAGCCTTGCCTGGCCCCCACCCCTGGCCTGGCACATCACAGGCTGAAGGTGCTGCAGAGTGTTTGCCGTACAGCTGACTTCATGGAAGACACCAAACCAGGCTTTTGTTTTACTTTTTTGAGACACCAGGTAATGCACCCACTGAAAAGAAAAATTTCCAAGTGGTTTGCATTTCAACACATTTAGAACTTCTCACCATTTAGGGTTGAGGGGTAGCTCGGAGGTAGAACCCTTGCCCAGTATGGGGAAGGCCTTGGGCTCAATCCTCAGCGCTACGGGGCAAGGGAAAAGTTTTCTCCTTTTAAGGAAAGTTAGATCAAGCCTGTGAGGACTGTAAGGCTGTATTCCAACAGGACTCTCTCTACAAATGCAGATGCCACTATTAGGGTCCACCCTTCTTTTTGATGGGGCTTCCAACATTCATATTCTGAGCAAAAAGAATACGAAAAAAATATGTGAACCCATAGTTTAGACTATATTTAACATTCTAAACAAAGACAAAGAAAGAAAGCTAACCTGCAGGGAGCAGAGGAGAGGGGGCAGCTGTTTAATAAGCAGGGTTCAGTTTCTCAAGAGGAAAAGAATCAAGGACAGCGATGTGGATGTGCTTTAACACCATTTAAAAATAGTTAAGACTGGGCTGGGGATTTAGCTCAGCGGCAAAAAGTGCCTGCCTGGCAAGCGCAAGGTCGTGAGTTCGGTTCCCGGTACCGGAGAAAAACCAAAAACCAAAAAAAAAAAAAAAAAAAAAAAATAGTTAAGACGTCCAACTTTATGTAACGTGTATTTTGCCACAGCTAAAAACTTCTGGGTGTACAAAGTAATATACGAATGTCTTTGCAAAGAGAGGTTTGAGAAGATGCACAGGACCTAAGTATTATGCAAAGTTTTAGTGTCTGTACCCTCGAATTTTAACTCAATTTCAGAAACAAGATGCTCCTAGGACAAATTATAGCTCATGTAGGGAAAGAACAAAAGACATTCAGAATTTCTAGAGGAGGAAGTAATCTCATTAGAGTTCAAACAATTAATAAATAAATACAATATGTCATGGAAGTCAACAAACGGACTACCACACACCAACAGAGACGTTAGACAGCCCGACCTAATTTGGGTCAAAATCCACAATCTGAAGTTTCTTCTTTAAAAATAAAAAATAAAACAAAGTAAAGAAAATGTAAAATGTATATTTGACTAGCATGGATTTTGTTGTTGTGTTGTTGAAACTGGGTCTCGCTATGTAGTTCAGGGTGGCCTTGAATTCACTACGTAGCCCAGAATGGCCTCAAATTCACAGTGATCCTCCTGCCACAGCCTCCTGAGGGCTGGGATTACAGGCATGCACCACCATACCTGGCTTGGATTTTTTTTTTTTAAAGGTTGTAAGAAACCTTGTCTCATTATAATTAAAATGTCAGGCTGGGACACAGCTTGTGGTACAGCAATTGCCTGGCACGCACCAGGCCCTGGATTCCAGCACCAGCAATGCCAAGATGAAAAGGTAATAAAATGCCTCCCTTCCAGCACCTTTGTTGAGTGCCACCGGCAAATAAGGCTCTCGCATCAGGAACACACAAGTTTCACTCTCTCGCTCCGGCCCAGCCCACAGGACGTCGCTGTTTACGAGGGTTCTCACCTCCAGAAACTTCTCCCCCGTCCCGGGGTGTTCAGTGACAGTGACGTCCACATGACGCTTTACCAACCTATGTCCGGAGGGCTGTGCCCATCCTCCGTGCTCAGGTGCTGGTGCATCGGACGTGACCGAGGCCAGCCCTGGACGTGCGTGGCTGCCTTTGGCGTACTCCACACGTGGGGCTCGGCCCAGCCAGGGTCCTCCATCCATGCCACGCATGCCAACGAACTACCCATTCCACCCGCAGCACCTGTGCTGTTCAGGCCTCGCTTTGCTGTGACTCCATTTCTGCCCACCCTCTTTTCTCCGGGATTCCCATAGCTTCCCGTCCATCCAACCTCCACGAGGCGCTGTAAGGGCCGAAGTCCTCATGGACCACAGCCGCACTGCGCATCATGGACAGGCTGTGTGTACCACATGGTCACGTTGGTTAACATCTGTACGCTCACATGAGTACAACGCTGT